CAGAACTGCTTCCGTTTACAACAGTGAGCGCAAGCTAGATTAAATTGATTATTACGTTTTAAATATGTTTATTTTTCGTACAAAAACGCATCGATTTGCTACAGGAGGACTTTGTTCACCCCCCGGAGCCGTGTGAGACCCTTTTTTTTATGGATGGGCGCTTTTTATTTCACTTCTTTTGGACTGAAGCAATGCAATAATGACTGGCATTAAACAGCTTGAAAGATCAAAGACAATTTTTTAGATAACTCTGACTGGATTTGTCTGAAAGAAGAAAGTCATATACACCTAGGATGCATTGAGGGTGAGTAATTTATGAGCTAATTTTCATTTTTGGGTGAACTAACCCTTTAAGTTTTTACCCTTAACTGTGTAATTGTTTTCTTAAGTTCTGTTATGTGTTCTGTTAGTAACCATTTCACCCTAAACAACATTAAGGGACCAAAACAGCTCCCTTCATCTGCTGAACTTAAACGTGATGGATGGATTTAATGTAAATTGGATTCCTGTCTGCAGAGTATTTTGCAATTGTAGCTCTGTGTAGCTTTGTTTTTCTGTTGGAATCTTTATCTATCACTTACTATCACTTTCTGTCGTTTAAACTGCTAAAATATAACTTAATTATCACCATATGTACTTCTGATATTATTAGATATAAAAGTACTTTTATTTTTTTAAAGTACTTCTACTTATAGAAAAGCTCTAAAAACTGCTAGATCTATTTGTTTTTCATCTCTCTTAGAAGAGAACAAACACAACCCCAGGCATTTATTCAATACAGTGGCTAAATTAACGAAAAATAAAGCATCAACAGACACAGACATTTCCCAACAGCACAGCAGTAATGACTTCATGAACTACTTTACTTCCAAGATCGGTATTAGTAGAGATAAAATTATAACCATGCAGCCTTCAGCCACAGTATCACATCAGATAATGCACTATAGATCCCCCGAGGAACATTTCCACTCATTCTTTACTATAGGAGAGGAAGAATTGTATAAACTTGTTAATTCATCTAAACCAACAACATGTATCAACTCTCTACAATGTGAGTAAATCACTCGCATATGCGACGAAATATTCACTCTGGGCGACTAAATGATGTCTATCGTTAGCCATTGGCTAATCAATTCTCAGATTTTACTCACCAGTGTGTGTTAGAGGCTAATTACAAGTTTAGCATAGATATATTTTCACTCGCTGAACACTGACTGAGCACTTCAGAGTTTTGCTCTCTATCAAGCGATCTGTACTATTTCAGTTCATCTCAATGGATGCGCAGCGCACCTGTATTTGACGCACGACTCAAGCAGAAGATATGCCGGTTTCTCCGGTAGTGGGCGGAGCTAATGCGCAAACGGCAATCTCATTGGCTGCCGCTCATCTACTGCCGTCCCTACGCTCATCTACTGCCGAAATTTTTGATTTCAGCAAATCAGTTCAAGCGAACGCTGACAATGTGATTAATATTAATGAGCACAGCAGCTCATCAGATCTTAGTGCGCTGTATATCGTTAGTATAGTAGTAGAATTAGTAGTAGTATTATTTTTAATAATAATTGCTATTATCTAGTACTATTAGGCTATCTATAATTTATTTATTTTTTTGTACAGAAACCCTGAATGCCCAACAATATCTTAAGCATCACCACTAGTCCTAAGTTCAGTTCAAATGACAAATATGCTTACATACATGTTTACCAAGTTTTAGTTCTAATCACTAAAGTTCTATCATTAAATAGTGCTTAATTATCATAATATCATAATATAATACTTGACTGACTGATTAAGAAGCTAAGATTTAAGAAGCTGTGCCATTTTACAAATATAAGCTGATTGGAATCGTGTGTGTGTGTGTGTAAAATAGTATATCAGTCTGGCGAGTAAACTAAAAAATTGACTAGCCAATGGTGATTATATTGCCAAGGTGTGCGTAGAGGGTTGAGTTTACTCGAGGAATAAAAGCACAGTTTCACCAATCATAGTTCTTGTTTACATTAGACCCGGCTCTCCTACCTGTTGATTGCAAGAGAGAACGTGGCAGTGGTGCTTATGCCGAGAGAAAGTGAGACAGAGAGAGGGCTGCGTTTTTTATGAACGCTGTGTTCTGACATTTGGAGGATCAAAAGATTAAGCCCTCTGTTGTCCGCACAACCATGTGAACATGTCCCAATTAAGCAAGGTTTTTGTTCTCATCCCTCTCTGAGGATTTGGCCTAATTAAAAGAGAAGTCAGGTGACTCTGAGTCAGCGAAATGAAAGGACGGACAAAAAGACATTGAGGTTTCATTGTGATGCCCTTTTTTCATATTTGTTTATGACTGGCAATAATGGACACTGTCAGCGATGTCAAATAGTCTTTGTCCTGGCTTTTTTGTTGCTTGTGTATGATATTTTCTTTCGATCTCTGTGCCAGCGTTCAGTTAAATGTCATGTTTTGTTTAAAAAAAAAAAAAAAAAAAAAAAAAAAAAAAAAGTCTGCGCCCGATCTCGTGTGATCTCGGAAGGTAAGCAGGGTTGGCCCTGGTTAGTACTTGGATGGTAGACCGCCTAGGAATACTAGGTGCTGTAAGCTTTAGTGTTATCAATACTACTTATCTAAAACACTGGCCTGTAGAGTGGCTGATCTTTAAACAGCCCGCTCTGTGTGGCAGTCCCTGCTTACAGCCTTGTCTGATCTCGGAAGCTAAGCAGGGGCGGGCCTGGTTAGTACTTGGATGGGAGACTGCCTTTTCCCCGGCAGACTTCTGCCATTTCCATGAGGGTTACAATTACCTCTAATCTTCCATATGCACCTAAACGGATGTCATATGTGTAAGTGCTTCTGAAACCTCCTTCAGGAAGGATGAGGCTTCCCCAACGTTCCTGTTCCAAGTGGAATGGGTACGTTTTCCCAGTGTTATCCAATCTCACTGAGTGGATAGTGCTATGACAACAGTGATTGGTCTTCTTGTTGCGAGCCCCGGCCTACACCACAAAGGGGCGCAGGCGGCTCGCACAGGACACTGGAAGGGGCAGAATCCATGGCGCTTTGGTAGGGATCCCAATTCGTCGGTGCACCTGCTGCCTAATTATACTCGCACTGCGATCAGTGGCAGCTGGATGCAATCATCGCATACCAATGTGCATTGGCTCATTTAGTTTACACTCGAAGTGGATTGGTCTCTCTAAGCGACAAGACGTTCATCTCTATGGATGCGCAGCACACCTGTATTTGACGCACCGTAAACTCTATAATATGCATTCATACATGGTTACCAAGTTTTAGTTCTAATTAGGGTTGTGACGGTGAGGAAATTTTCCCACCGGTTAATCGACGTGTGACAACACCGGTATCACCGTGGGGGCAGTTTCACCAATCATAGTTCTTGTTTACATTAGACCCGGCTCTCCTACCTGTTGATTGCAAGAGAGAACGTGGCAGTGGTGCTTATGCCGAGAGAAAGTGAGACAGAGAGAGGGCTGCGTTTTTTATGAACGCTGTGTTCTGACATTTGGAGGATCAAAAGATTAAGCCCTCTGTTGTCCGCACAACCATGTGAACATGTCCCAATTAAGCAAGGTTTTTGTTCTCATCCCTCTCTGAGGATTTGGCCTAATTAAAAGAGAAGTCAGGTGACTCTGAGTCAGCGAAATGAAAGGACGGACAAAAAGACATTGAGGTTTCATTGTGATGCCCTTTTTTCATATTTGTTTATGACTGGCAATAATGGACACTGTCAGCGATGTCAAATAGTCTTTGTCCTGGCTTTTTTGTTGCTTGTGTATGATATTTTCTTTCGATCTCTGTGCCAGCGTTCAGTTAAATGTCATGTTTTGTTTAAAAAAAAAGAAAAAAAAAAAAGTGACGTGACATGTGGCCAAGTATGGTGACCCATACTCGGAATTAGTGCTCTGCATTTACCCATCCAAAGTGCACACACACAGCAGTGAACACACACACACCGTGAACACACACCCGGAGCAGTGGGCAGCCATTTATGCTGCGGCGCCCGGGGAGCAGTTGGGGGTTCGGTGCCTTGCTCAAGGGCACCTCAGTCGTGGTATTGAAGGTGGAAGAGAGCGCTGTACATTCACTCCCCCCACCTACAATCCCTGCCGGTACGAGACTCGAACCCACAACCTTTGGGTTATGAGTCCAACTCTCTAACCATTAGGCCACGTTTTTGTGGTGAATAGACGTTTGTTCTATGAGTTTTGCAACTGGTCTCAATATATTGTGCAGCACTCACATGTGACGGGCTGTTCTGCTCATTTGTACTTTTTTCTAGATGTGTTTGGTTTAAGGTGGTTTATCTGTGGGTGTGTGTCTTTACTGTGTTTTATACATGTGTGTTTTCTCCTTTTAGGTGATGCTGCTGTAATGGAGCTCAGCAGGGGAGAGGTGCCACTTTATGTGAGTCTGACAGAACGATTTTCATTTTATTCCATATTTCTTTCTTTTTTTTTCCTGATGTCCTGTCACTCTTGGTTTAGCTTATGAAATTCTATTCTTTCATTGTACTTTCAGGATCTGTCCTTTCAATTCTTTCTGGGTGCCAAAGGACAAAACTCATTTATTAAAGACTTTACCTGTGCATGAGAGAAAACTCCTCTAGAAACTATTCTGGTTGTCCAAGCTTCTGCATTATGGACAGTGTCTCTCATAACTGAGTTTACATCGTTTTTAAAATGAAAGAAAACAGGAACAGAAAGTTTAACAAAGTCTAACTTGCGTTCAAATGGTATGGTACAGTTTGTGTTTTCAGTTGTTTATTACCTTAGTCTTGTGAAATTGCCTCTCTCTGGAAGTAGGTACAGTTGTTGTGTCTTAAAGAGACACAAACCTGAATAACTTAGATATTTTGAAGAATGTTTCAACTGTTGTTGTTTATACAGTGAAAATCAGCGGGGTCCAAAACAACACTGGACCCCACTGTCATTCATTGGATGGAGAAAAAAAGGGCAAAACAAAAAACACTAAAATAGTATTCAAAATGTCACTTACTCCCTCTTAACCCTTGCATAAATGATTACAGAATGCTAATTTTTTTGGGGTGGACTATCTCTTTAAACAACAAACTTTTACCCGTTTCAGATTTCTGGGGGTTTAACCTAAATGGCTATTTATTATTTCTAGTCACTGCGACAGAAACCAAAAGAAAACACTTTCTTTAAGCCATAAGATTTGTGATGAAATGGCTGTTAAAGTTTATTCCCTTCATTAAATTCCTTAGATTGTTACTAAGAAAACATTACACTACTGTAACATTCTTTTTCCACCTTGAGTAATTATTTACAGCTCCCTTAGCCTGAATTTCCGATGAAGTTACTTAAATGACATTTACATGTATTTGGCAGACTATTTTATGCAAAGCCACTTGCAGTGCATCCAAGCTATACAATTTAATCCATATGTGCATGATCAAGGACTCCAACACATCATGATCATGACCCATGAAAAATGGACCATAATCCAGTTTCTTATCTACATGTCTTTTGTCTATAGTACTTTACTGAATCATTTAGCCGATACATTTTTACAAACTGACAGGAGCAATTCTGCTGGAGAAACCCGTTTCACTCCTTGCAAGGTTCAAACCTTCAACCTTTTTGTTACTAGGCCAAATCTTTAAACCCTAGGCTACAGGAGTTGATGTTTGAGAGGTGTTGATCCCTGGACAGAAGGCCATTGTGAATCTGAAGCTCTCTTCATCGTGTGCTGGCTCAGCTGTATAATCACAGTGGGTGGGGTGAACGAGAGTCGCACAATCCTTCTCTGTGACCTCATTATAAAAGAGGGGCACTATGTGTTAGTTGTGTAAGCTTTTTAAGGTGTGTGTGACTGTGATGGGGATAATGTGTTATTGTAAGGGGATATGTTGAGAGTTTATAACAGACTTGCATAGTGTCAACTCTCAACTCCCCTGTATGGCACTGCAGACAAACAGTCTCATTCACTCAGAGCTAAAAGCAATTAGTGTGTGTGTGTTAAATGCTTTCAGGTGTTCCTGGCCCCATATGTGGTACCTAGTGTGGTTGAGGAAGTGTGTTTTTTCACTTTCAAAGATGTGCTTTTTGATCAGTCAGTCCAAATAAAAGGTTTATATATGTTTCAGAAGAACAGCATTGATTTTTTTGCTTGTTTTTGAAAGAAGTCTCGTGTTCCCCAAAGTTTATTTTCATTTGATCAAAAACACTAAAAAAAAGTAATATTGTGAAATATTAAAATTTAAAATAACTGAGATAACTGTACATTTTAAAGTGTAATTTTTTTCATGTGTAGGCAAAGCTGCATTTTTTTAAGCAAGAAATGTAAGGAAATAATTCTGTTGAAAACAGTTGTTCTACTTAATATTTGTGTGGAAACAGTGATAGATTTTTCAGGATTCTTTGAGAAAGTTGAAACCTGGAAGAGAATGCAATGGGTTCATGGCACAAGCAATTTGGATGTGAGTTTACACTTGAGGAATCAGACAAACATTGTAGTCATTATGGTTCAGCTGCTGTAGTTGCTTCGCTGTTGCCGTGACATTTTAAATGAAACGAGTTGGTGTGGACATTATTAACTGCAGTCATCATGACTCTATGTGCTCCTCCAGTGCATCTGAGTGGGTTCAGTTTGCGTGTGTGTGTGTGTGTGTGTGTGTGTGTTAGCATGGCCCTGTGTGTCAGGGTGTGTCTGGATATTGTTGGCCAGACCCGAGTCTCACCTGGTGTGCAGAGCCATGAGGAATGTTTAATGAGTCACAGTCCAGGAGAGCAAGTTTCAAATCAACTGGTAAAGCCCTTAATGTCACTTAGAAAACTACTCAGAATATTAGAGCCTTAGTAACTTTTCATTGAGACTTTCAATGAGTTTAAATGACATTACTAAAACTGTAATGTCCATAGAGTTAGTTCACTCAAAAATGTCAATTCTGTCACTGTCATCATTTACTCACCCTCATGTCATTTCAAACCCATAAAACTTTTATTCATTTTTAAAACACAAATGAAGATATTTTTAATAATACCTGTGACATCTGTCTCTCCATTGAAAGTTCATTCACCCAAAAATGTCAAAAAGTTAATAAAGATATTGTTAAAGAAATCTAAATGAATCAAGCAGTTTATTCCAAGTCTTCTCAAGAGATATGGTTGCTTTTTATGATGAACAAGATTTAATTTAGGCTTTTATTCACTTATAAACATTGATCTGCACATATGCATAGAGCACAACAAATATGATAAATAGGAGAATGTTGGTAAGAAAACAAACCAAGAATGTTTTTCCTACCATATTAGAGCCCTAGTAACTTATCGAGACTTTAAATTACATTACTAGATCTGTAATGTACATTGAACACTCTTTAGTTTATCCAAACTGTTAGAACACAGAGGTTAAATAAACATGTCTTCTTGACTAGTTATGAATGATAAGAAATACTCATGCTGTGAACAGCAGAGATATGGAGACATGTTTGACATGTTTTGTTTCCCAAACATCATTACAGAGATAGTAAAGTCTGGCTCTGAAGTGAGGAGAGCTGTGTTGATGTTTGACCGGAACAAACAGCATTGAGGAAAAGGCCTCTGTGTTTGTCAAGTATTTTTTCCCGATAACACTATAAATAAACTCTATTTAGGGAACCACAGTGCTGAGTGTGATAAAATAGAGTGAGTTTAGTGCTGGGGTTTTAAAACTTTTTGATGTCAAGGACCCCCAAATATAATGATTAGCAATGGACCCCCTTCCTGAAAGATACACTACTGTTCAAAATAGTTTTTAAAAGAAATGAGTACTTTTATTCAGCAAGAATGTATTACATTTTGTGCATTAGGGTGGGGCAAATTAAGAAACAAATGAGCATATTAGACTTTTTTTCTTTTCTGAAGCATCATGTGACACTGAAGACTGGAGTAATGATGCTGAAAATTCAAGCTTTGCCATCACAGGAATAAATGACGTTTTAAAATATATTCAAATAGAAAATAGGTATTTTAATAATGTTTCACAATATAACTGTTTTTACTGTATTCATGTATTTTTGATCAAATAAATGTGCTTTGGTGCAGTGTTAATTTTGACAGGCATTTTTGATTTAGTCTTAGTCTTTATCTTGAGACGAAAATGCTTAATAGTCTTAGTCACATTTTAGTCATTTGAGTCTTTCATAGTTTTAGTCTACGAATAGTCATTTGCATTTTTGTCAACTTTTAGTCATTACTTTTAGTCAAACTGCAGTTACCAACATTTATTTTGGTAGCTATTTTATATGTAGTCTTCAAACAAAAATAGTAATTAATTCTTCTCTCTTTAGACCAAATCAATTAAGCTTATGATAAATTTGAATCAAGGATTGAATTTGGAAAAACTTGAATAAATGATGACAATTTTAATTTTTGGGTGAACTATCCCTTTAACAGTAGTGAAAAGAGAGCAACTTATACAAATGATAGTTGTTCATATATAATATATATAATTTATCATTTTTGAAAAAGAAGCAGAATAAGACAATAAGACAAATACAAAAGAGATACAAATTAAACTCATTTTTCAGATACAGTAGGTTTACTTAACATATTTATTTAACATCTTTTGTTGGTTAACATTAATGACACGGATAGGTACTTAATTAAGAACGCTGTCCCTTTAAGACGGAAGGCATGCATGTAATACTGACACACGTTCAGTTCTCACCCACCTGTTTACGTTCACTTAATCCATAACCGACTGTTTTTCCGTGAGATACTCTACACGATAGACATTCGGACTGCTGTGTGTGTATTATTTAGAGCACTGAGAACTGATCGCACTCTCTATTATGAGAACTGAAGAAGTGGAGCGTGCGCGAGAGAGAGCACTTCTATCAGCGCGATTCCGCCTATCCTAGACATTCGGACTGCTGTGTGTGTATTATTTAGAGCACTGAGAACTGATCGCACTCTCTATTATGAGAACTGAAGAAGTGGAGCGTGCGCGAGAGAGAGCACTTCTATCAGCGCGATTCTGCCTATCCCGCCTTCACTAACTGTAATCGACAACGAATTGTGACTCCCGGGAAAAACGGGACATCTGGTCACCTTATCCCTACCCCATCGGCTGCTGAGGCCATTGTTTCAGATCGCTAGTTCGCATTTTGTTCGCATTAGCCTATCCATCCACTGCAGCTGCCATACTGAGACTAGATATGCAAACGCCCCTTATCCAGTTGCAATCCAATGACAGGGACGCACATTTTGAAGGACAAGACAGTAGCCTATAGCAGGGGTTTTCAACCTGTGGGGCGCGCCCCCTCAGGGGGGCGCCAGTACCTGTCAAGGGGGTTATCATCAGATATTAGTTTTAGCTCGTCAATGTCTCGTCTTAGCCACAGAAAAAGTGTTCGTTAACGAATATTTTTCGTCGTCGTCTTCGACGAAAAATAATTGACA